GTGTTTAATTAATGCCAGTGACAGTGCGTGTTTTATTAATGCCCGTGACAGGGCGTGTCTATTTAATGCCAGTGCGTGTTTCATTAATGTCAGTGACAGTGCGTGTTTTATTAATGCCAGTGACAGTGCGTGTTTAATTAATGCTAGTGACAGTGCGTGTTTAATTAATGCCAGTGACAGTGCGTGTTTTATTAATGCCCGTGACAGGGCGTGTCTATTTAATGACAGTATGTGTTTAATTAATGCCAGTGACAGTGCGTGTTTTATTAATGCCAGTGACAGTGCGTGTTTAATTAATGCTAGTGACAGTGCGTGTTTAATTAATGCCAGTGACAGTGCGTGTTTTTTTAATGCCAGTGACAATGCGTGTTTAATTAATGCTAGTGTCAGTGCGTGTTTATTTACTGCCAGTGACAGTGCGTGTTTCATTAATGCCAGTGACAGTGCGTGTTTTATTAATGCCCGTGAAAGTGCGTGTTTATTTCATGCCAGTGACAGTGCGTGTTTTACTAATGCCCGTGACATTGCGTGTTTTATTAATGCCCGTGACAGTGCGTGTTTATTTAATGCCAGTGACAGTGCGTGTTTCATTAATGCCAGTGACAGTGCATGTTTCATTAATGCCAGTAACAGTGCGTGTCTTATTAATGCCCGTGACAGTGCGTGTTTCATTAATGCCAGTGACAGTGCGTGTCTTATTAATGCCCGTGACAGTGCGTGTTTATTTAATGTCAGTGACAGTGCGTGTTTCATTAATGCCCGTGACAGTGCATGTTTATCTAATGCCAGTGCCAGTGCGTGTTTCATTAATGCCAGTGACAGTGAGTGTTTATTTAATGCCAGTGACAGTACGTGTTTCATTAATGCCAGTGACAGTGCGTGTTTAATTAATGTTGCTGACAGAGCATGTGTGATATTATTGGCAAATCGTGTTTATCTCGTGTTATTGAAATACAACAGTATACACATGTGCACGTTAAACAAACATTATACTAAGTCCATAATAATATAACATGAAATACAACAATATACACATTAAACAAACATTATACTAAGTCCATAATGATATAACATGAAATACAACAATATACACATGTGCACGTTAAACAAACAGTATACTAAGTCCATAATGATATAACATGAAATACAACAATATACACATGTGCACGTTAAACAAACAGTATACTACGTCCATAATGATATAACATGAAATACAACAATATACACATGTGCACATTAAACAAACATTATACTAAGTCCATAATGATATAACATGAAATACAACAATATACACATGTGCACGTTAAACAAACAGTATACTAAGTCCATAATGATATAACATGAAATACAACAATATACACATGTGCACGTTAAACAAACAGTATAATAAGTCCATAATGATATAACATGAAATACAACAATATACACATTAAACAAACATTATACAAGTTAGAAAAAGTCCATAATGATATAACAGAAAATACAACAATATACACATTAAACAAACATTATACAAGTTAGAAAAAGTCCATAATGATATAACATGAAATACAACAATATACACATTAAACAAACATTATACAAGTTAGAAAAAGTCCATAATGATATAACAGAAAATGTTTACAGTCTATTGCGGTAATTCTGATGTTAATTATCTTATTTATTTAAAAAAAAAGGTAAATCAAAACAAAAACCAGAATTGTTTTTACTGTCAGAATTGAACTGCGCGTTTCGACATGCGCTCATGCATGAACACGTGATAAAGACTGTTTTTGTTTTTTTTTACCTGTCGGTCTAGAACATGGAGAATGATCAAAAATACCACGAGAAACGATGTAGTGTGAACGTGCAAGGGCGTTTCGGTGAATCTGAAACGATATGGTATTCGATGGATATTTTATTGAAAACAACAAAACAACATCAATAACTGTTTCGGAAAGTTTGGTGCCCCCAGTGGCACAGCGGTATGTCTGCGGACTTACAACGCTAGAAACCGGGTTTCGATACCCGTGGTGGGCAGAGAACAGATAGCCCATTGTGTAGCTTTGTGCTTAATTATAAACAAGCAAAGTTTGGTTATTGCTTGGTACAAAACTCTACAATGGGCTATATTTGCTCTGCTCACAACGGGTATCGAAACCCGATTTTTAGCGTCCTTAGCCTGCATACTTACGTTTGAACCATAAGGGGCATTTAGCTAATTGTAGATAATTATACAAGATCCACGTGTAACTGTCGTTATTTTAATATATACTAACTAAAAAAAATTTTCGATCAAAATATTCTTAATCTCGCCAATAAAATGATCGTCAGAAACCTACATTTTTTAAACAATTAAGTTTATACATGTGCAAAAAAAAGTTCTAATAAATAAGACGATTTACGTAATGCTCTACACTAGAAAAATGCGACAAAAACTTTAATAGAAATTGTAATTGTCCGTTAGAAATAGGCGCAAAACACTAATATAGATTAGTCTTTTTTGGTTAGAAATACCCACGAGACACTAATATAGATTAGTTTTTTTTTTGTTAGAAATACTCACGAGACACTAACAGAAATGACATTATTTCCTTACTAAACAACAAAGTGTAAAACACTGTAATAGAAATGATGTTTTTCATCAAATATATGGAAAAAAATAACATCGTGCAAATTACTTTGTTTTCTTTCTCTGCATACGCATTTGACACTTCACAAAAACTATCATTTACCCTATTACTTTCTCTCTCTCTCTCTCTCTCTAGATAGATAGATAGTATTAAATAAAAATTACGTTCGTTTCCTTTCCCTCTTGTTAGTAAGTACTTCACTAAACCTAAAACCTTACTTTGCTATTTCTTTTATTTTATCCAACGAAAGTAAGTAAGGAGACTAATTACTACCGGAGGGTACTACCGAACCCGT